TCATGTCATGTAGTAAAAACAATTAAGTGAAGTTAGACTATAGATTACTTGGCTATTCAGCCACAGTCACCTCTAATGGAAAAGAAGAAAAATAGCATTGACAAGTTTTGGCAGGTCTCATCATTAGAAATGCCTATATTGCCAGAAAGAAAAGAAGCTTCAGCCAATAATGTAAACCTAGAAGTTCTCTAGGCCTTGAGGAAGAAAGTGACAATACAGAATGTTGCAGCATTAATTGTCTGAGAGCACTGATCATTGTAATGGGAAAACTGTCTCTCTTATTAACACAATTATTTTCTACAAAGTCTTTGAGTCAATGTCCCATTAGAAAAATTTCATTAGGAGTTTCGAAGCATATACAGCGATGTAAAGATATACTCGTTAATAAAATAAAGGGTGACCTATATGCCGCCCAAAGTCCCTTGAAAATAGAAATAGCATTAATATACATATTAAAATTACAGTATAATTGAGTAATTATTTTTTAAAAGTAAAAATTTGTACCATTTTCTAAACTAATGGAAATTATACTTTTAACATCTATTTGAGAAATATACCTATCCATACACATGTATGCATATTCACATTATGTGCATATTCATATATACATATATTTTTTGATGTCAACATCTTGACATTGGCTTTTAGGCCCTTCTTCTGCTCACCTCCAATTTATGCATTTTATCTCCATAGGCAATCTCTGCTGATAGTTTTGTTTTAAAAGGCTGAGAACTGAAGGAAGCAGAATATTATTATCTGTGTAGGAAGAAACAACAGAAAGTAGTGCTAATTAAGGTCCAGGCTAGATGATCTCTTAATGAACTGTCCAGATTTGGATATGGGACTCTGCTTGCAGGGTCTAGCCTATCTCCAAAACCAATAGTCAGTCCTGTGAGATGTATTTTTAACATTTGTATAATAGCTTCTGCTGTTTTTGCCTCTGTTTTTGCATTATTTGGCTGAGTTCAGTGATGGTCCTGTCAAACATTCTAATTTCTCTTTCTTAAATGGTAGTTAGCCCACATTCAGTATTAAGACAGTGAACAGTTTCTTTTTTGGAAATGAATTCTTGAATGCAATAGAGAGATAAAGGGTGAGGGAAGTTGTACATGTTCAGAATTGTTAAGTGATGGCAAGTAACCTGTGGTATCTGACATAGATCAGTGTATTAACTGGTCTTCTCTAGTCATAAATGGGGTGACACACTCCTAAAGGAGCCAGCTTGAAAACAATGGAGAAGTGAGCAGAGAAGAGCTATATCATTTTGAAGCCCTTCCCCAACCACCCCCCACCCCCACCCCAGTCTTCTGTTTATCTCACGAAGGCAAAATGCTACATATAGGGCAGTTTATTTTTTAAAGCATTTTTTGCTAGCCTCCTTGCAGAATCAGCCTGATGTATATGAAGCCAATTTCTACAGACTTGCTCTGGTATATGTAGCACAAGAGCCAGAAATATTTTTTGTAGTCTGGATCTAAGTACTTTCTGAAATGTCTTCCCTTGAAAGATTCTAACTTAGCACTATTCTGGAACCACATGAACATTTGAGCAGAACTGCATCTTTTTTGAGCAACATTAACAGTGATGAAAAATGCACATCAGGCAATTAGATTGCAACTAATCAAGAGCACCACTTCAGCCTAGTATGAATGATTTATATATAGTGCATTGGATATGGAGATCATTAGTAATAATATGATACCCTGTTGTCATTATAAGGTCACCTTGGTGATCTTTGTAAGATATTTGTAAGGTGACAATGATGTTATTGACCTACATTTTAAATATTACTTTTAAGTATTGTCTTCTGTCTTGATTTACTGGTAAAAATTTTAAATTGTTTGCTCTTACTACTGAGAATTTTCCTCAAATATAAAAATAATAGGTTTTGGGATTACTTCATTAATAAATTGGGGCCATAAGGTTAATTAAGTGCCAATCATAAAATATTAGAATGGTAAATTTTAAAGTTTCTTTTTTCTTCTGCTTTAATTTACACACTGCCTTTTCTTTTCTTTCCTTTTTTCTTTTTTTAGACAAGGTCTCGCTCTGTCATCCAGCCTGGAGTGGATAACACTCCAGCTCACTGCAGCCTCAATCTCACAACTCACTGCAACCTCACTGCAGCTTCAACCTTCCAGGCTCAAATGATCCTCCCACCTCAGCCTCCAAAGTAGCAGAGACTACAGGCAGACAGCATAATGCCTGACTAATATTTTTATTTTTATTGTAGAGACAGGTTTTCACTCTGTTGCCCAGGCTGGTTTCGAACTTCTGTACTCAAGCGATCATCTCACCTTGGCCTCCCAAAATGCTTCGATTACAGGCGTGAGCCACCCTGTGTGGCCCACGCTGCCTTTTCTAAAATGGATTTTCGAAGAATTAAAAACATAAAATAACTCTATATATGAGTAATATATGTTTATTATAGGAAAGTGAGAAAATACAGATACACAGAAAGAAGAAAACCATATATAATTTACATACATGTATATCTAAGCTGAACTCACATTGTGGTTACTTTACAATGTGCTTATTTAAATAAATATTTCTGAACATCTTTCTATGTGAATAAAATAGATATGTGCATACACACAGACATATATGTACATACACAGACCTACACACAGAAAGAGAGACAGAGACAGAGACAAAGAGAGACAGAGTTGGAAAAAAAACACCAAAAAATGAAAAGAAAAATTTATAGTCCCCTTTCCCTCATCTCTTCCAGAATGTCATTTAGAAGCAGCAAATTAAAGACATACGTAGAAATTATATGAAGTGATCATTAACATCTAACAGTTCCGATATTATGTTTAATGGCTGCTTAGTAATCCATCATATAAATAAATCATTGATTTATTTAACCAGACTCCAATTATTGGATATTTAGGCAATTTCCGATATTTATTACTATAAAAACATCATGAAAAATTCTTATACATACCTTTCTGTATATCTCTGATAATTCCTTTTGAAATGTTTAAATGTAAAATAACTTGATCACAAGGAGGACATATTTTTAAGGGTTTTGGTACCTACTGACAAGTTGCCCTCCATAAATATTGCACCAATTTTACATTACTAATTAATGACTTTTCTTTTTTTCTTTTCTTTTCTTTTTTTTTTTTTTTTTTTTTTTTTGAGACAGAGTTTTTCCCTGTCACCCAGGCTGGAATGCAATGGCACAATCTCAGCTCATTGCAACCTCCACCTCCCTGATTCAAGCAATTCTCTGCCTCAGCCTCCCGAGTAGCTGGGATTACAGGCACCCACCACCAGGCCCGGCTAATTTTTGTCTTTTTAATAGAGACTGAGTTCGCCATCTTGGCCAGGCTGGTCTTGAACTCCTGACCTCATGATCCACCTGCCTCAGCCTCTCAAAGAGCTGGGATTACTGGCGTGAGCCATCGCACCTGCCATGAAATGACTTTTTAAAAGTTTATATGTTAAAAATCCGGGTGACTTCATACTGCGTATACATAAATCAGAGGAAGAAGTGTATCTCTGAAGTGGAGTAAATTAGTGGGGATCATTATATAACAGCACAGCTCCTTCCTTAGTCTATTTGTCATGCCATAAAGGAATGCCTGAGCTGTGTAATTTATAAAGAAAGGAGGTTTATTTGGGTCACAGTTCTGCAGGCTGTAAAGAAACATGGCAAAAGAATCTGCTTCTGGTGAAGACTCAGGAAGCTTTCAATCATGTCAGAAGGTGAAGGGGAGACAGCATATTCAGAGATTAAATGATGAGAGAGAGGGAGAGAGAGAGAGAGAGAGAGCGCCAGACTTTTTGTTTGTTTGTTTTCAACCAGCATTTCTCATGGGAACTAAGAGTGAGAACTTACTTGCATGATAAGGGCACCAAGTTATTCATGGAGGATCTACTCCCGTGATCTAAACACCTGGCACCAGGCCCCACCTCCAGCATTGAGTATCAAATCTCAACATGTGACTTGGCAGGGCCAAACCAGAAATATCCAAACCATAGTGGAGACACATTTTATAGTCAATTTTATACCTGTTGAATAAAAGATGCCATATGGGACGTTGGTAAAAGGACTGAACCAAAAGTGAGGGGACATGCATTCTAATCCTGGCTCTGCCACTAACCACATATGTGAGTTTGCAAAAGCCATTTAACCTCTCTGGGCCTTAGTTTCCTAATCTTAGAGTTGTTTGAGAAATAGATGAAATACGTATCTGAAATTTATTTATAAATTGTAAAGGACAATTTTAATGTAAGAAATTAGGACTACTATAAATTGTTTACACTAGAGTGGAAACTCCTTAAAATTGTGGGCATTTCATCTCAGAATGACTGGTATATTGAGTGAAAATTAAAGAAAAAAAGGAAATTGAATAGTGTTCAGTTGGGAAAGTCTATGTGGAGTGGGTGAGAATTTCATACTCCTCCAGGTATACTCTTCTATAATTAAGAAATTCCTTTTTTAGCAGCATAATTAATATAATTAGTTGAAACTTCAAGTAGACCTTTTAAAAAACGGACCCCTTTATCTCTTCTGAATTGCACAATGAATATTCTTTTTTTTTTTTCTTTTTGAGACGGAATTTCGCTCTGTCACCCAGGCTGGAGTGCAGTGGCGCGATCTCGGCTCACTGCAAGCTCCGCCTCCCGGATTCACGCCATTCCGCCATTCTCCTGCCTCAGCTTCCCGAGCAGCTGGGACTACAGGCGCCCGCCACCACGCCCGGCTAATTTATTTTTGTATTTTAGTAGAGACAGGGTTGCACCGTGTTAGCCAAGATGGTCTCGATCTCCTGACCTCGTGATCTACCCGTCTCGGCCTCCCAAAGTGCTGGGATTACAGGCGTGAGCCACCGCGCCCGGCGTGCACAATGAATATTCTTATATTCACAACCCTCATCTCCACTTCCAACCCTGCCCCACATGTATCTCTTCCATTCTTTCATATAAGGACTGCTTTGGATTTGCATGCACATATGTTTGAAGGATAATTTGGCCTAATTTGTTTACAGGAATTACAAGGGTGACCTTTATTCCGCTGTCTCCTTTTTGATTCTCATAACTTCTGGACCTATCAAGGTATGTGCATTTTACACTGAATTTTACTTTGAGAATTGAACACATAGCTACATAATGTGAAAAGAATGGAATGTTTTGATGATATAGTCAGTTATATTTATTGCATGTCATGTAAATGAAATGCATTGTTTTAAAATTTTTAAAGTCTATTTGTCCATTTTATAGATAAGCTTGTGTCTGTACCTCATAATTTTTAGTGTTTGCAAAAACAAATATTCAGGCTGTCTTACATGTCTTACATGTCTGAATAATTCTGTGACCTTTTCCACATACTACTAAATCAGGAGTCTTCTTAACTAATGGGAATATCTGCAGAGTGCATATGAATAGCAGTAGCCAGAGAATATGTTTGCAAAACTATTTAGTAGTTCTTAGTGACTACAAATAAATATTTGTCCATATCAATGGAACAGATATTTCCATTCAGAAAATTTTACTGACATAAATATTTCCCTCCTGAACTGAATGTTTTGATTCTTAAAGTCTCATGTAAAATATTTGTATTTACACAGGTATTGCATTCATTTATTTACCCTTCCATTCTACCTTCTCTTCATCTACCCATCTATCCATCTATATGTCCAATAAACAGGTATTGAGCAACTTTTGGGCAAAAGTTATTGTGCCTTTTTTACTGGTAAATGTGCCAATGTTGGTATAATTGAAGTGGAGCATTGCGAATGTTTGCTTCTGTATAGTCAGTCCACTGTTAGGTGTACTATGTGAGAAAACGTGGCAAGATGAAGGGTCTCCCTCATTGGTTTTATTTTTTATTAAAATATTGTTCAATGTTCAGTCCTTAGTAACTAAGGCATAGAAAACATTGATGTTTTTCCCTTTGCTACCTATATCTTGCAGTACTATGCATCATTAATCAAATGTGAATTCTCATTTCAAGCTGTAAAAAAGTCAAAAGGATGATCTGAATTTGTGGTAAGTCTTTGGCATCACTTGATACTTTCTTTAAGAATATGTAAAAAAGAATTCTGCAAACTCTCAGAATTTGCGTTGCCCTTCTAAAAATATAACACAAATATCTCATTAAGGGTTTCATTAATTGGGCTCCAATTATTGGATATTAGTCTGTATCAGAAATTTAAAACAGATTTGTCAGTTTTGACTATACATGTAGTTCTATTAGCCTTTCTTTCAGAGGTAATGTCTTTAAGGGAATACTATTGCCAAAAAGTTCAGATTACTATAGGAAAAAAAAATGTAAGATCAGAAAATAAAATGACATTAAAAGATAAACTTACTTAAAAAGTAAGTCAAGATTTTTGCATGTAATGTCATTTGTGAAAATAATTTTTTTAATTTGGTAATTGTGAGTCTGCCAGTTGCGCAATACTAATTGCAAGGTATTTTTTACACTAAGGAAGTTTAAATGTGTGGAAAATGTTAGTCTTACTAAGCTAATGTGAATGGATCAGAATGGAGAGGAAAATACCTGACAGACCCAAAGAATGTACACTTATAAAAATAATTGTCACTAAATATTTAAAAGTTTCAGAGAGCAGCTAGTTTCCCTATTTTAGAAAGACAACATTACATAGTAGAAAAGCCCTTGTTTGTCAATCAGAAAACCTGGGCTCTACTCTCAGTCTTATATTAGTAATATGTTTCTCGTCAGGTCACTTCTCCACTCTGAGCATTGGTTTTCTTATGTCTATTATAAAAACATTGGGCTGAACAACTCCAACTGTCCTTCTGTTCAAACATTGTATGATTTTTAGAAAATTCAGGGCTGTTCTCAGATATGCAATATGGAATCAAGATTAGGGATTAAATTGGAATACACACACCATTTAAAAGATTGCTCCTTGTTAAGTGGTTTAGTGAGTTTGCAATAGTATATTTATTTTTCGTTGATTTAAAGCAATTGTGTATTCTAACGCCATTATCACTCACTCACTCCACGCGTACTGGTACTGGTGTTATAATAAATAGTTTCAAGCTGAAGTTTAGCTACTAGTCTCGAGTCTTCCTCCTTAATAAAAATGCTTAACTTTGGGATGCTGCTGTGCTTCTTCTCTGTCAGTCTGTTGAAGTTCAGCAAACTATGTTTTCACCTTCTTGCATGATGGTCGTTCAAGGTCAAGCATCTCTCTATACCTTGAAACCATCCAAGTGCGTAACCTGATGACTTCAGACTCCAATGCTTTCAATCTGGCACCCTTCATGAGCATTGATTCATATTAAAAGATTTAAAATATATTCTCCTTCATCTACATATCACAGCAGTAACAACTTGGGCACAGGACAGTGCCTGAGAACAAATAACCACTTGGAGTTAATGATCTGAGGGGCAGCTGAAGGACCATTGACACTTCCCAGTCAGTTCTTTGTCCCTATAAAATGCCTACTTCTGAGGTGCCGAACCTTCAATAATTTTTCTGTCTCACATCAGATTAAGTAGTGACCATAAATAATAGCATTTAATACATAATAATGAGATATAGCAATGCAATAAAATATCAACAATTCTAGTACTACATTAAGGTGGTTATTCTGATGAAACCAAAAGAATGAGCAGTAAATGAAGTTCATGAATCATAATATTTTAGAAGAGACTTTCACCTTATTGATTTGAAATGAGATATAAGAAAGAATTCATATGGTTTAGGGGAGCAGTTCCCTTTCTTTTGCTCTGTATTCCACTGATGAATGATCTAATTTAGAAATAATAAAAAATGCCTCTGACATCTATTTTAAATTGATTTTTAGATAGTGTATGTTCAGCTTTTTCCCCTCTTTTTTAGCACTAGATTCATTTTTCAAGATATGTACAGCTCTGAACTAAGTTACAAATACAACTCTACAAATGTTCTTTTCCAGAAGAAGCACTTTTTATTTATTTATTACTATGACAAACATTAATAAGTCTCTACAGTGTGCCAGGCATGGTGCTAGGTGCTGGGGAAACAAAAAGTAATATGGAACATAGTTCTCACTCATAAGCTCATCATAGAGACTTGGGGACTGTGCTATACACAGAGAAATAAAATAATCAAGTGTTGTAGGTATGGAGTTTCTATGAATTTACTTGCTCATGGCATTTTTAAAATAAGTTTAAAAGATTCATATATCAAAACCTACTGAGTAGGGCAATGATATGTGTAATCTAAAATAGCTCTCCACTCGAATCTACAGGAAGCATTGGTTATGGTGGGAGAAATGCCCCCCCTCCAAAAGATGTCTGTGTCCTGATCTCTGAAACCTGTGAATATGGCATGTCACATGACAAAGAGGAATTAAGATTGCAGATGGAATTAAGGTTACTAATCGGCTGACCTTAAAATAGGGAGATTATCCTGGTTATCTCTGTGGGCCCAATGTAATTACAAGCATGTTTAAAAGTGGAAGAAGAGGGCAAAAGAGAGAAAAACAGAGAGATGGGCACATGAGAAAAACTTGGCCTGATTTTACTGGCTTTGAAAATGGAGGAAGGGGCCATGAGCCAAGGAAGGTAGATGGCCTCTAGAAAGTGGAAAAGGCAAGAACACTGATTCTTTCCTAGAGCCGCCAGGAAGGAATTCAGCCATGCTGATACCCCGATTTTAACCTATCAAGACCCACTTCAGACTTCTGACCCCCAAATCTCTAAGATTAGTCTGTATTGTTTTATGTTGCCAATTTTGTGGTAATTTATTACAACAGCAATGGCAAACTAGTACACTGAGGTTTACTCAGTATGGAAAATGTGAGAAGTCTAGCTGTCGATCATGATTGCTGAAAGGCATTCTTCATGCTGAAATTGGTGCACAGGGTTATTTACCTAGTGACCATTTTTTCTAGATATCCATATCAGTCTCCTCCATCAGAACTACAGCGATTTGTGAGGTCTCTGAAAAACCTGGCAATTCTGACACTCCCACTCCCAATTTCAGAGAGAATTTAGTCCTCCTTCCCTCTCCTTCTGTGGACCACTTGTGCTCCCTCCTCCTAACCCCTTGTCCCCTATTTCTCCACATTGATGCCTAGGATACAAGGTTTGTTGATAAGTGAGAAGTAAAAAATTATCTTTTTTCTTTTATGGAACACCTGCAGCAGGAAGAATGATATAGGCACTAATATCCTAATAGGTTACCCTGGCATGGGTTTCATGGCAATCTAAATGTTGGGTATTAAGTATAGTGTGAAACTGAAGTTTCAAGCTAGTGGACTGTTGCTCAGGGCCAGTCCTCAGATATGTTTGTTTGCAACCCAGGATGGTTTCTCTCCTCTCTTCTCCTTTTCTTCCTTTTTAAAAATGTTGTAGCTTGAGTGTGTCCTCTTTAATTTTGTAGTAGAGGGTAAGTGCATATGCTTTGGAGTTTAAAACCGTGAGAAGATCCAATTCGGCCACATACTGACTGTTCAGCTTGGGCAAGTAGATTAAGAATAATCTCTCTAAATCTCAATCTCCTAACCTCTAAAATGAGAATAATAATTATACTTCATAGAGTTGTGGCGTTGAAAATGGCATGCAAATAATTCATAAAACACCTTGCACAATGCCTGGCATATAACATAGTGTATGCTCAATAAATACTAGCTATTACTTCTGCCACTATTATTGCTATAGTAAGGGCACAAAGGATGGGCAAACAATTTCATCTGGTAAGGTGATGAGAAGCAGATATCTGGAAAGGCTTCATGGAGGAGGTAATGCTGGTAATAATAGGGCCAGGCATATGAGTGTGGACTGCTGGGGAATAGGGAATGGCAATTTGGTATTGTCAGATGAAAAAAATGGTAGGGATGAGAATATGTTCTAAGCAAAAGAATAAGTGGCAGAGAAATATCAAATAGCCTGGTCTCTTAGGGAAACTGCAATCAGTCTTTACAGGTAGAGGATCATGTGGAATGTAGGCATGAGAAGAGATAAGGATAGAGAAGTATGCTGGAGACAGATATAGATGGATTTCCCTAGCTTGTATCCTACTAAGGTGCACTCTTTTTTTCCTGTAGGCCAGTGATTTTCTGATGTTGCTTGTGAAATTTTAAGTTTGGTTTATTGC